TTTAACCACACCTCATTAAATTTAGTTTTGCTGTCACCATTTAACCACACCTCATTAAATTTAGTTTTGCAGTCACCATTTAACCACACCATTTTAAATTTAGTTTTGCTGTCACCATTTAACCACACCTCATTAAATTTAGTTTTGCTGTCACCATTTAACCACACCTCATTAAATTTAGTTTTGCAGTCACCATTTAACCACACCATTTTAAATTTAGTTTTGCTGTCACCATTTAACCACACCTCATTAAATTTAGTTTTGGTGTCACCATTTAACCACACCTCATTAAATTTAGTTTTGCAGTCACCATTTAACCACACCATTTTAAATTTAGTTTTGCTGTCACCATTTAACCACACCTCATTAAATTAAGTTTTGGTGTCACCATTTAACCACACCATTTTAAATTTAGTTTTGCTGTCACCATTTAACCACAACACATTAAATTTAGTTTTGGTGTCACCATTTAACCACACCACATTAAATTTAGTTTTGCTGTCACCATTTAACCACACCACATTAAATTTAGTTTTGCTGTCACCATTTAACCACACCACATTAAATTTAGTTTTGCTGTCACCATTTAACCACACCACATTAAATTTAGTTTTGCTGTCACCCTTTAACCACACCACATTAAATTTAGTTTTGCTGTCACCATTTAACCACACCACATTAAATTTAGTTTTGCTGTCACCCTTTAACCACACCACATTAAATTTAGTTTTGCTGTCACCATTTAACCACACCACATTAAATTTAGTTTTGCTGTCACCATTTAACCACACCACATTAAATTTAGTTTTGCTGTCACCATTTAACCACACCACATTAAATTTAGTTTTGCTGTCACCATTTAACCACACCACATTAAATTTAGTTTTGCTGTCACCCTTTAACCACACCACATTAAATTTAGTTTTGCTGTCACCCTTTAACCACACCACATTAAATTTAGTTTTGCTGTCACCCTTTAACCACACCACATTAAATTTAGTTTTGCTGTCACCCTTTAACCACACCACATTAAATTTAGTTTTGCTGTCACCCTTTAACCACACCACATTAAATTTAGTTTTGCTGTCACCATTTAACCACACCACATTAAATTTAGTTTTGCTGTCACCCTTTAACCACACCACATTAAATTTAGTTTTGCTGTCACCATTTAACCACACCTCATTAAATTTAGTTTTGCAGTCACCATTTAACCACACCTCATTAAATTTAGTTTTGGTGTCACCATTTAACCACACCTCATTAAATTTAGTTTTGGTGTCACCATTTAACCACAACACATTAAATTTAGTTTTGGTGTCACCATTTAACCACAACACATTAAATTTAGTTTTGGTGTCACCATTTAACCACAACACATTAAATTTAGTTTTGGTGTCACCATTTAACCACACCTCATTAAATTTAGTTTTGGTGTCACCATTTAACCATATACCCTGCTTACCCTATCATGTACATTTTGCTGTCCATATCCTCCACAACAACGACACGTAATTCTGATGTCTTCATTTTTAACATGGATCAGAATAATAAACCTGAAAACATTTTTAACATGGATCAGAATAATAAACATGAAAACATTTTTAACATGGATCAGAATAATAAACCTGAAAACATTTTTAACATGGATCAGAATAATAAACCTGAAAACATTTTTAACATGGATCAGAATAATAAACCTGAAAACATTTTTAACATGGATCAGAATAATAAACCTGAAAACATTTTTAACATGGATCAGAATAATAAACCTGAAAACATTTTTAACATGGATCAGAATAATAAACCTGAAAACATTTTTAACATGGATCAGAATAATAAACCTGAAAACATTTTTAACATGGATCAGAATAATAAACCTGAAAACATTTTTAACATGGATCAGAATAATAAACCTGAAAACATTTTTAACATGGATCAGAATAATAAACCTGAAAACATTTTTAACATGGATCAGAATAATAAACCTGAAAACATTTTTAACATGGATCAGAATAATAAACCTGAAAACATTTTTAACATGGATCAGAATAATAAACCTGAAAACATTTTTAACATGGATCAGAATAATAAACCTGAAAACATTTTTTTCGCTAATGTACCTTAAAACAATAATGCCTTAAAAACATCTATTCTGAAATATTCAAGGAAAATAATTTTTATATTTTTATTTACAACATAAAAAAAAGTTGCAAATAAGTTGCTGTTTTTTTTTTAAATGCACATGATATACAGCGAATCTCACTTTAAAATCGTCTCCCTAGAGATGATACGTTTTAATATTTCAAATGACAAAACAAAAGATGTTTCTAAGCCGAAAAAATACGACCTCCAGCTATTCCATCAAACAGACGAATGAAAATCATTTGAAATAAAATGTCTGTAAAATTTACATTTGAGATACTTACGCGCCTTCTCCTAACTACAACACACACACACACACACACACACACACACATATATATATATATATATATATATATATATATATATATATATATATATATATATATATATATATATATATAAAATATATATATATATAATATATATATATATATATATATATATATATATATATATATATTATACTAAATATATACAAAACTCTTTGAGTGGTAGTAGTTTCTAGATAGGTAGATGAATATATTTTGATAAGCAGCCCAATCATAATTGAAATGTCAAGGAAACAACAAAAACATTTCATGAACACATCATATCTTGCCGACCCATGTTGGAATATATTTTCAAAGATTTTAAAATAGCTTTAATTTTAGATTAAATGACAGTGACAAGTGCCTTATCATTACCTGGCCAGACGTGTTTTCTTTTTCTTTCATCCAATTCCCAGATTTATTACAGACAAAATAAAAATATGTAAACTCGGCCGTGTACGTACACATTTTTAAAAATTGGGAGATTGGTTAGGGGAGATAAGTCGGTTCACGACAAAGGTGACTAGCCAAGCAGACGATAGCGGATACAAGTCGGAGTGACGTGTTGTCTGTTACGGTGTAAGAGATGCCCTAGACCCCGGGAAAAAATATAATGAAATGATTGTCATAAATGGGATAATATCTTTCTCATTTTTTTTTACCCCATTCCGTTTTCTTACTCAGCCTAGGTCTACATGTTTTGTAATTCGTAAAAGATTAGGAAGCTGTTTCGGCGTTTCACGGTTTTCTCGGTAAAATGTCGCGTCACTGTCGTCGCTTCTCTATAGAAACCAACGCTCACAGGTAAACTAACACAGCATCAACCGCCTGCTGGGAGAAACTTATCCATGTTGGCTTGTAATTAAAAATGTATGGGGAGCAAAGCATTTTATATATATATATATATATATATATATATATATATATATATATATATATATATATATATATATGCATAAAGCGTTTATCTGTTTTATTACTATTTTGATTCCACTAATACCCACGATCATTTAAACTCATGACTTTATAAACATTGAATCATCCAGGCATTAGCAATTATTTAAAACAAATAATACTCAGGCTTGTATAAAATAATAAAATAATATTAGCTTGAAATATTCCTCAGTATTAAGTTAAAATAAAGTGTGTGATCACTAAGCTTTGGGCTGAGTCAGTAAGTTAATTATGAAAGGCGCCTTGTTTTTGTTCCGTTGCCTTATTTGATTCAAGTTTTTAACAATAGCATACCCCAGGAGAAGGAAGTCAGCGATACCTTCTGTCAGATTTTTATACAGTTGGCGGGTGTGAGCAGGGGGAACAACTTCACTTTTGGTAGTTTTTATGACGTGAGAAAGCTACAGCGTGGCAGGCCAAAAATGTCAGCGTGGCAATAAACGCCAAGATTTGAGTCAGGATTCGGACGTGGCCAGATAAAGCTGCTCGATAACCTAGCCATTATCAGAATTCCCGGTACTATTTTTTTTTCGCTTCTACTTTTAAGGCAGCGCTACTACTTTATTTGTTAAGGGGAAATAACTCAAACAATTTGCACCGAGGGGAGTTAAGCAAGGAGCGATTAAGCCCAATTTATGTGTTGGGTGTCAGAAACAACAAATAAACCATCATCGCCGGTTGAACGGGTGAGCATCACCCCCTCTGTTACAGGGCGCTCACTTCAAATAAGTGGGGGACAACTCGCATAAATTTACCAGCATAATTTTTGCTTAATTTGCCGAGACTGATTCAATTATCTCCCCTGCTTCCTCCAGTACCGGCCCAGCTGTTCTGTCTAGCTACCGTTAGACAAGGCTCAGTATTTAAGATGCTGACACATTCTTACTTCTGTCACAGCTGACATCAGTACCTGGTGTACCTTGCCTGACATCAAGATGACACCTACATCGTCTGCCTGATGTCTAGACCAAATGACAAGCCATCTATAGTCATCATACACATCATTTAGATTTTCTTGATCGAACCTATTCATCAACCCACTGCAGATTTCAAGTATATATATGTCATTTAGATTCAGGAGATGACATCAGATAAAGTAGTAGAAAATAGTTCAAGTAGTATTGCGTGGTAAATTTAGCTAGTATTGTGTAGTAAATTTAGCTAGTATTGAGTGGTAAATTTAGCTAGTATTGTGTGGTAAATTTTGGTAGAATTGTGTGGTAAACTTAGTATTGGTGTGAAATTTAGGTAATATTGGTGACCCATGTATATAAAGAAATGGTGTGGTCAATACTAAGCCTTTAGTTTTTATGTATTCAAATTACTGGAACTGCTTGTTGTTTTGTATCTTTACAATGTCAGCTCGATAAATGACAAAAATTTTTTTGTATTTTAAAACTAAACAATATTTTGTTACTTATGCAAGAAACTAATATTTGTATTGTTATAAACTGTTATATGTCTATGTGTTAGCCTGCACACATGTGTTTAAGCTTCACCCAGGCCACCATGTTCTCGAAACTTTGATGGAATGTATTTAGTTCTAATGTAAAAAATAAATAAAACTTAAAACATTGTACTTATACCTTAAAACCAATTTTTTTAATGATACTGAAAAATGTACTAAAATAAGCATTTATAGAAGATAAAATCTCAAACATATAATTGTCAACATGTTGCAGTGAAAAAACTTATAGATCAAAGTTTATTTACAAATTAAATGGATGCACTTTAATGATAAACACACTAAAACATCTTTAACACTGGCACATAGATACACCACACACACATTAGTTACATTACCACAACTTGCTAACATTCACACGCACATGCACACATAAACTCAATATACAAACTATTGTGAAACACACACTGTACACATCATCAAAACCACACTAAATGTATTTTGTGAAGGAAACTGATATACCACATACAAATTACCAGTTATTTATAGATGCTACAGACCAACGTTAGTAGCCAGTTATACCAATAGGTTATCGACCTTGTCAGCTACACAGATCTCACATAAAATATTATTGATAACAATTTCAAGTGTTACAATTAATCCAAAATGTTGACATCACTAACTTCATTCAACAAGGTACAGATACTATTTTCAGGTAATCATTATTTACAAAAATATCTGTGTACTGAAGAATAAAAAGCCCTTTTGCACACCATTTACGAAGCAAAAAGTTACTACATCTGGTTATTTAAAGGGCTACAATGGTTTGTACTTGCCATCTCCTCTAGCATCATGCATACAGTTGGCATTGGGTATTCTATACTTGAACATAAGAAACTATGCTATCAATGCAAGCATCTGTTTATGATTATACTTATTGTATAGGCGATTAAACACCTAAATAAAATACAAGCTCTACTGTAAAAAAAAATTCTCTTCCTTGGGATAAAAGGATTTCAAGTTCGTATTAGTAATTGATTCTAGGGGAAGCTATCAAAACAATTATTTAGTCTCATATTGTTTAGGTTGTTTCCCTTGATAGTGTAAAGTCTCCCCCTTATAATTTATGCTAAGTTTACAACACATTAAAAACAAAATATCATTAACAAAAACTGTTAATTAATTATTCATTAATTATATTTCCTATTGCTTATCTGTGTCTGGGGCCCGGGTCGTCAGCTGTAGTCCATGCATAGATTTGATTTCATCAGCCAAGGCCTGCAACAAAAAGATGCCAGGAGTTAATTTATTTGTTGTTTTATAGAAGGGCAACATCAATTAGTAATTGGAGTTAATTACATATTCAAGAAAAATCACAAAAACAAAACTGAATTAAAAAGTGTCCTATAATATCTTGCACCCAATTGGCCTACTAAGTTTTTTTTTTTTTTGCAACATTTGTTAACAATGTTTATGAATAATCTACTCTTGTACTGCTTTAAAGAAAATAACAGTAAAACATTTTCAAGTTATCAAGAGAGTTGTAATTTTGATTAGACATTTAGCAAACAATCTATACACTTGAGAGAGGGCTGAGTAAGAGACAGATTGGAGTGAACAAACAGCCAAAAATGACAGGAGTTGATCATTTGTAATGTCAGGAGTAGGACAACGAGTTTTGTTTTGTTCTAGTGGCTGGGTGTTGTGGATCTGGGTAACATAACTATGAAGATTAGCTAGAGTAGTATGGGTTCATTCTCTTTTAGAAACATTGTAATTGTCGAACTGGACTTATTAATGCTTAATTGCTTAATGTCAAATGTGTCTCTCATAGCCCCACATATAAGAATTAAATTGGTGGAAATCCACATCATGATGTAAAAAAATAATTGAATATATCAAATGATTTAATATGTGAAAAACAATAGGCATTGTCATAGGTATCATTACACAACAGATTCTGCTAATTATTTCTAATAAGTATTGAAGTTAAAAATAATTGAAAACAAACTAATATCGTCACAATCATTTCATAATGGCCAACATAATTTTTCATGAATTGGAACAACTTGACAAAAAAAAATAATTTTATTCTTTCTATTCTAGTGATGTTTGTCTAAAAATTCCCAAAAGGTTTATATTTAGGTGTTTGTGCCAAAATGCTGAAGAATGTGTGAGCTCAATTTAAAGACTACATTTGAAGACCGACTAGATACCTACCTTAAAGCAAAGTATTTAATCGTAAAATAACAGATGATATGTTCTAATAGATAAGTAAAATGTGAAAACCTTTACCATACCTGGTTAACAAGCCGATGCTGTTTTATTGTGGGTAATCCTTTAAATTGTGGAGACTCTATAGAAATCTGGTACATAGCGCCACAGCCACCTTCAAATACAGGATAAAAGATTTACTCAGCAGGAATTTACAGCATTTGGTACAACACAACTCAACTTTGATTAATAAAACAATAGTGAAATTTTAACACATGCAGTCACACAGCATTTTTTAACTAATGAGTTATAAGGATCAACAAGTTAAGCGGTTATAAACTATTTAGTTTAGTTCCTGAACTGTGCCAATAACAAAAAAAAGCAGTTTTAAATTGTTTAGCTACTGTACTGCATCAATCGATGAGAATTTTAAGTTACCTGAAACATCAGCCACTTGTATTTCTGTGGCATCAGGAAAAGATTTCTCTAGCTTCTTCTTGATGTGCTGCTCCCCAGACGTGAGATCCCCTGATGCCTGACCCTCTGATGTTGTACTCAACTGCTGGCACAACGGAGTTGTAGTACGCGACTGGTAAAGTACTTTATTCAACTTATCCCTGACCTGCAGAAAATGGGGCAGTAATGTGCAGATAGATATATTGTTATTCATGTATAGGCAGACTAAAAAATAATACTAGGTGACTACTCGAAAGAAGCTTCTTCCCTGCCGCAGCAGTCTGGCCGGCAGAATATGCAAAATGTAATGACCTTAATAGCTGTGCAATGGGCTCAGATTACCCTTTAAAGCTGCGCTATAGAATCAAATTATCCTTTAAGCCGTATTCTTCTGACAAAACTATTGACACCGTGTTGTCGAGCAGTTGCGCTCTTCGGGAGGGAGGGAGGGGGGTCATCAGGTTCATAGTATAGTAATTGTATCTCTAGTAAAGGAAGCTAGTTCAAATATAATATAAATTATTTTTTTTAAATCTATTTTTTTAATAACCTACTAAAATCTACTACTTAAGTATTATAAGTATAAGTATTTATTGTGTTTTCTCTATCCCATCAAGACAACACATTGTCATTGGCCTAAACAACGACCATTTAGATGACAAGAAAAACCAGATCATTTCATTCTAGCACTATGCGTATCTTCTTCTGATGGGAATCGGACAAATAATAAATTAATAGGCCCTAGCCTACTCAATTAAAAATAAAAGGTGCAACTCAAGCTGTCCAGCTGAATTAATCTGAATTATCACAAAACAAGTCTCTCTAATCTCACAAACATTGAATATAATATTGGGAAGGGGCTTATAACAAAGATCTAGGGCAATGTATGTAGGCGAAATGCCGTACGAGTTAATGTACGTAAACTACAGGTTTTTTGTTTGTTGGTTGGTTTTGGTGAAGAGGAGAAGAGAGTGAGGTCCGAGAGCGGCGAGAGTGAGAGGACAGTGACAGTAGGCCGTTCGAATTCACAGCTTCCGGGTTTGTTGTTTTGAAGCCATCTCACGGCTCATGCGCATACCAAAAATGGCGACCAGTTTCGCTTTCACTAATGGGTAGAGCGATAAAACTAATGATTACGGAGCCATCGTTAATTTAAGAAATCGGAACTATCCGTTTCTATTTAAGTCTGTTATTTAAGAATTGTCGGATCTACTTTTGGCCTAATTTCTATGTTTGTCTCGCAAACGGCGCCTTAGTGAAAGTAGCTCTATATAATTCTTATCTTTCGAATCAAATAACTATAAAATACCGCAGGTATTTTTAACCAGACTATTGCTATCTTTTACTTGAAAGCATTAATTTTACACACGTTACAATAAACTGGTAATAATTTATTGTAGGCATGAGATATGCTCTGTAAGAATAATAATGCCATTTTATTATAATCTTTTTTGGTGAACACGAAGCGCGGGAAAATGTGTGACGCGCAAGAATCCAATCATTCGGCTAGATTTATGACTGTTTTTTTATGTCACACCTAAAAATAGAATGTTTACGCTTTCTTCATTGATGATCGTTTTCATTATTTTTTTAAACTGAAAGTATGAATTATTAGTTAGATTTCAGGTTTTGTAACTTGGTATACTTACCCTTTATCAAAATTAAAAGCATAGCATGCTGATTGTGAACAAATATAGTCATAAAACACAAATATAAAGTTACAAACAATGCGATGTCGGGATGTGCCACACCCCCTCAAGAAAACACGTGTTTATTAAGCTGTTTATCTCACTTTACAACAGTAATTAAAATTAATTTTCAAATTTTTATCACTTATTGGGTAAGATTAAGCACATATTTACTAAAAATGAAAAAAAAACAAAAGCAAATTCTGTTTTAATGTAGGTCACGGGTCAAGTTTTTTTTTCCTTCTGTCATGTTCAGTGGAGGGTGCCACAGGCTGACCTGACTTTGGATTTTTTTTCAGTAATAATGACTTTGCACAGAAAGTTAAAATATGCTAAATTGGCTTAGTTTACTAGTGTGCAAGCTATTATTGATACATTTTTAATAAAAAAATCATTCTGTAATTCTCATCAAAAAGCCTAGTGACAGTGAAAGGTTGAATGAAATTTCGTCTACTCACTTGAAACCTTAACACAGATAAAATTCTTTGCATTTTTAATATGGTTTATTGTGTTATTAGAGTATTTGTATTATGAAATTAAAAAATGAGTCGAATGTCTTGTTTAGTTTAGCTAACTATATAAACTAAGTCTGTTTGAATGCATGTATTCTTGAGATGACATTTGACTGAGAATCAAAAGTAGAAAAACACACAGGAAGTAGATCCTAGATCTAGATTTTGGATTAAATTTTAACTTGATCAAGAATATCTGTTGAAACTAAAATAATTAATATTAAAAATACGTATAAATTTTAGATGTTTAAATTGTTCTAAAATTATCTTATAAAAATTTCTATATAAAAATTATTTAAAAAGTATCAATTAAAATAGTATGTTGATTCCGTAGCCTATACATACAATTAGCATCTCCCGAGACCAGTTTACTAAATACCAAGATCTGGATTACTAAATTTTAGACCAGTTTTAGCCTTTTTAGCGCAATTTCAATGCGGACAATTGCGATTATTAACTCGTCATTTCTGGATGGATGGATGAATGAATGAATGAATGAATGTGTGTCCGCAGCTTTAAGTCGTATCTCCTCCTCAACGAAGCAATATCGAGGACTAGTTCCAAAGCAAATATGTTAAGCAAGTTCCGAGGACGATTGTGGGATAAAAAAAATTCCCGGAATTCCTTCCTGGATTTTTCGGAAATACCAAAAAAAAACTAAAAAAAAAATGCAGTTTTTGGCCCATATCTCGGCAACCAGACCACTTAGCGACTTGAAACATTTACCAATCGATTCCTGCCATAATTTAGAACAATATTGCCGAAGAAAGTTTTCAAAAATATCCTTTCGTTCGGTCACAAAAAATTAATTAAGAATTTTTAAACCGAGCATCGTGTAGGCCTAGGATGATATTTTTAATTTAAACTCAGCATCGTGTAGGTTTTTAGCGCAAAAAAATATCCTTTTGTTCGGTCACAAAAAATTAAAAATTGTTATGGATAACAAGGAAATTGCGCTTAAATTGTCACTAGACTTTTTATTAACTTGTTTTGGTACTGCTGCACTTAAGTCTCTCTCTCTCTCTCTCTCACTCTTTCTCTCACACACATATATATGGGGATATATATATATATATATATATATATATATATATATATATATATATATATATATATATATATACATATAAAAGTACATAACCTACTTATTACATATATATATATATATATATATATATATATATATATATATATATATATATATATATATATAAGTACATAACCTACTTATTATATATATATATATATATATATATATATATATATATATATATATATATATATATATATATATATATATATATATATACATATATATATATATATATATATATATATATATATATATATATATATATATATATATATATATATATATATATATATATATATATATATATATATATGCCTACAAATATATGACTATATACATATGTATATATATATGTCTATATATATGTATATATATATATATATATATATATATATATATATATATAATAGCTTTTTGTAGCGTAGAATCTTCTAGTATTGCGTGACGTCACTTTTGACGCCAACTTTAAGTGTTATAAGTTGTAAACGTGGACCCAGATATGTTTTTCTTTAATATGTATCTTTTTTTTTTAAGTCTTTTCGCTGAAATAAAGTTTTCCCTTCACTTTTTAATAACATTCCAAATTTGTTTTTTAAAGTTAACCAATCTAAGAAAACAATGGTGCGTTTTTAATATAAAATCTAAAGTTACAGATAGAGAGCAGCTATTGTCCTAAAAGGCATATAAAAACTTTACAGAATGAGATCAGCTATTGTCCTAACAGGCATATAAAACCAACTCCTGGCTAGTCTGGCACGCGAGGTGGCCCCGTGTAACTTAAGATGGGAGATAACCGTTATGTCTGGTGCTTGCTGTTATGGAGTGGCCTGATTATGTGGCTGACTGGAACTGTAATTAATTAGCCATGCGAATTCTTCTTGGGCTTAAAATCTACGCATTCTTGACTTGGAAGAGTCAGACATAAAATAGCAGACACCTATATCAATAAAGACGAGTATTAATTAGGCATATGAGTACAGTGTTTCTTCCAGACTTTTTTTTCTCCGGGGGGGGGGGGGGGGGGCACTTGATATTTCGGTCTACATTTTCCGAGGGGGGGGGGAGGGGGGTAAAAGTATATGTTTACTATATAAATTCTATCTCTTTCGGGGGAGGGGTATTTGTTAGTGTTAGGGTATTTTACGCTCATGATGTAAATGTGTTGTGTAGATATTGCACTGTGATTTTACTGGGGAGGGGGGAAGGATAATATAACGCCCATCTAATTACTAAAAATATATTTGTAATATTCCAAAAATGGTTGAGTACTCGTATTAATCGTGTGCAGAAAAAAAAGTTTGGCGGGACGGGTTCCGTTGTGTTTTACGAAAAAAAAAAAAGCCCGATGTATATGTAAATGCAGGCCTATTTATCTTTACTCTTCTTTCTCTAAAAAAAAATTTTGTTTGTAATGTGAATAACGACTTGGAATCTTTTTTTTTTTTTTTTTACTAATTTTAGTCTTGAATGTAACTAATCCTCTTATTGTTTTTTTCGTAATTGTAATGTAGGCTTTATGTAGGACAGGATTTCCATCTTTATGTTTACGTGTCAACCTGTTATGCTTTCTGGATTTTCTTCCATAGTCTTTGTTTGGGTTGATGTCCCCAAGCATCGAACCTCATCTGCCCTGGGGTACAAGCTTTACCGACCCGACCACGCCGACCCCGTAACTAGTCTAACAAATGCGATACTGTATAGTTCTAGACTAGACCTTTCAGTCAATGTTCTATCCTATTAACCCAGTCTAACTAATATGATATTGTATAGTTCTAGACTAGACCTTTCAGTCAATGTTCTATCCTATTAACCCAGTCTAACTAATATGATATTGTATAGTTCTAGACTAGACCTTTCAGTCAATGTTCTATCCTATTAACCCAGTCTAACTAATATGATATTGTATAGTTCTAGACTAGACCTTTCAGTCAATGTTCTATCCTATTAACCCAGTCTAACTAACATGATATTGTATAGTTCTAGACTAGACCTTTCAGTCAATGTTCCATCCTATTAACCCAGTCTAACTAATATGATATTGTATAGTTCTAGACTAGACCTTTCAGTCATGTTCCATCCTATTAACCCAGTCTAACTAATATGATATTGTATAGTTCTAGACTAGACCTTTCAGTCAATGTTCCATCCTATTAACCCAGTCTAACTAATACGATATTGTATAGTTCTAGACTAGACCTTTCAGTCAATGTTCCATTCTATTAACCCAGTCTAACTAATATGATATTGTATAGTTCTAGACTAGACCTTTCAGTCAATGTTCCATCCTATTAACCCAGTCTAACAAATATGATATTGTATAGTTCTAGACTAGACCTTTCAGTCAATGTTCCATCCTATTAACCCAGTCTAACAAATATGATATTGTATAGTTCTAGACTAGACCTTTCAGTCAATGTTCCATCCTATTAACCCAGTCTAACAAATATGATATTGTATAGTTCTAGACTAGACCTTTCAGTCAATGTTCCATCCTATTAACCCAGTCTAACAAATATGATATTGTATAGTTCTAGACTAGACCTTTCAGTCAATGTTCCATCCTATTAACCCAGTCTAACAAATATGATATTGTATAGTTCTAGACTAGACCTTTCAGTCAATGTTCCATCCTATTAACCCAGTCTAACAAATATGATATTGTATAGTTCTAGACTAGACCTTTCAGTCAATGTTCCATCCTATTAACCCAGTCTAACAAATATGATATTGTATAGTTCTAGACTAGACCTTTCAGTCAATGTTCCATCCTATTAACCCAGTCTAACAAATATGATATTGTATAGTTCTAGACTAGACCTTTCAGTCAATGTTCCATCCTATTAACCCAGTCTAACAAATATGATATTGTATAGTTCTAGACTAGACCTTTCAGTCAATGTTCCATCCTATTAACCCAGTCTAACAAATATGATATTGTATAGTTCTAGACTAGACCTTTCAGTCAATGTTCCATCCTATTAACCCAGTCTAACAAATATGATATTGTATAGTTCTAGACTAGACCTTTCAGTCAATGTTCCATCCTATTAACCCAGTCTAACAAATATGATATTGTATAGTTCTAGACTAGACCTTTCAGTCAATGTTCCATCCTATTAACCCAGTCTAACAAATATGATATTGTATAGTTCTAGACTAGACCTTTCAGTCAATGTTCCATCCTATTAACCCAGTCTAACAAATATGATATTGTATAGTTCTAGACTAGACCTTTCAGTCAATGTTCCATCCTATTAACCCAGTCTAACAAATATGATATTGTATAGTTCTAGACTAGACCTTCCAGTCAATGTCCCATCCTATTAACCCAGTTTCCCATGCAGAGGCGTATCCAGGTTTTTGTTGTAGGGGGAGCGAAAAGAGCAAAAAAAGGCGCCGAATTTTTAACACGTTCTATATACGTGTATTATATATATATATATATATATATATATATATATATATATATATATATATATATATATATATATATATATATATATAAAATTACTAGCTGTATGTCATTACTTCGCTATGATGTAAAATAAATTGAAAGTAGCACTCTGAAGAAATAAGAAAAAACACACAATGTAGGCCGACAAAACAAAAATTGTATCAATCTAAACAAAAAAAAAAAAAAAAATATACACACACTACAACCAAAAACAATGAACGTAACACAATATGTTTTGTAATTCTTTTATAAAAATTTCTTACATAATAATTCCTGGGAAATTATTTAAGACAAGTGAAATAGGGGAAATAATCACTCTCTTAATATAAATATGTATATATCTACACATTTAATTATAAATGTCAAAACAAATAAATAATTACTTTAGAATATAATGAATTTGTTTAACACTATTCGTGTTGACAAAATGTTTTTGTCTATAATCAGAATTAAATATATCGTCAACATAAATGCTAAAGTATTACAGCATAATGAAAGTTTTTGAAATCAGAGTTGGTATAAAACCACGCTTTTCGATAATATAGAACAGGGGTCTCCAAACTACGGCCCGCGGGCCGCATCGCG